GACATTCATGCTTGAAAGAGGGTGAGGAAGAAGGTTGCGAAGTTCACAGAGTGAGGCCGAGAGGCTACAGCTGTTACACACAATCACAATCAGGCACTACAAAATACAAATCAAACCTTGAACGGAGATGCAGAGCTGAAGTTCACAGAAAGGGCCGCTACATGGAAGAGGATGAGGAGGAAGATTGCGACTTGCGAAGGCGAAGGAGATGCAAAGCTGAGTGGCAGAGATTCGAGAAGTTTGTCTGAGAAGAGAAGAGGATCCAAAGTCCAACCTAATGCCTAATGGACAGCTGAGATTAAATCTCAGTCAATCCAATGGTCACCAATTTTTTAAATTTAATTTAATATATAAATTCACTAACACTTTTCATATAACATAAGATTTTGTGGTATCCATTAGTGTAAATATTTTAAATTGAAGATCGAGTTCATTCATTGTATTCATATAGGGTCAAGGAGTGTCATTGTAAAAAATCATCAAAATCGGAGTTAAAATAACCGTTAAATCATGATTTTTCGTTTATAACCGTCGAAAAGTTTTGTCTCGTTACTTGATATCTGAATGTTTGTTTTTTGCGTTTTTTGGCGTATGTGATATCAAAGCATATACAAACAAGTTTGACGGTTTGGATCGTTGAAATTAATTTCGTAGGATGCGTATCTCATCAAAACGATAGATTCACTAACACGGGGAGTTTATTTATACTTTCATTAAGTATAACATAAGATTTTATGGTATCCACTAGTGTAAATATTATAAATTGAAGATCGAATTCATTCATTGTATTCATATAGGATCAAGGAGTGTAGCTGTAAAAAATCATCAAAATCGGAGTTAACATAACCGTTAAATCGTGATTTTTCGTTTATAACCGTCGAAAAGTTTTGTCCCGTTACTTGATCTCTGAATGTTTGTTTTTTACGATTTTTAGCGTATGCGATCTCGAAGCATATACAAACAAGTTTGACGGTTTGGATTGTTGAAATTAGTTTCGTAGGAATCGTATCCCATCAAAACGATAGATTCACTAACACTTAGAGTTTATTTATACTTTCATTAAGTATAACATAATATTTTGTGGTACCCACTAGTGTAAATATTTTAAATTGAAGATCGAATTCATTCATTGTATTCATATAGGGTCAAGGAGTGTAGCTGTAAAAAATCATCAAAATCGGAGTTAAAATAATCGTTAAATCGTGATTTTCATTTATAATTGTCGAAATGTTTTGTCCCGTTACTGGATCTCTGAATGTTTGTTTTTTGCGATTTTTTGCTAATGCAATATCGAAGCATATACAAACAAGTTTGACAGTTGGATCGTTGAAATTAGTTTCGTATAATTCGTATCCCATCTAGTTCAATGGTATATAACTATAACTATAACTATATATATATATATATATATATTTTATATTTTATTAAGTAGATTTAAATCTATTTATTTTGTACATATAATTGACCGGTACATGGAGTAGTACATCACGTGTCATTTGTGATAAAAAGTTAATAACTTAAAAAATGAAATTTCTCACCACTTTTGTTAAAACACATGGTGTACTATTTGTGTTCCCGTTACAATGAAAAATTTCTCAAGAAAAAAAGAGAGAGGGAGGTAAATGACGTACGCGTGTCAATAACACAGTTGTCGGATCTTATCCTAACCAGTGCACACTTGAGAGACCACGGTGGAAAAACCCACCATACTAGTAGCAAGCAAAATACCACTACACCCATCTTTACCTCTTTTTTTTGTTTCCTTTTCTTATAATTTTCTTTTTTCCCTCCCTTTTTTTTTTTGGAAAACTTTTTCCCTCCCTTTTTCTTCAAAGGGCGGATGCATATTAATTATTATAGTTTTTAGGGGTATAAAATTTAATTTAAAATTTAATATATATATATATATATAATTATTATAGTTAATATTTTGGGGGTATAATTATTATGGATTTGGATCTTCTCCTGAGCTAATGGAGAGGATCCTCCTGACCACTAATCATGGGTCGTTGGATTTTTATCCAACGGCTATAATTATTATAACTTTAAAGGGACCCCCCTGTTTGTAGCCGTTGGATAAAAATCCAACGGTCCATGATTAGTGGTCAGGAGGATCCTCTCCATTAGCTCAGGAGAGGATCCAAGTCCAATTATTATAGTATATATAATTATTATAATTATTATAGTTAATTTAATATATATATATATATATATATATAATTATTATAGTTTTTATGGGTATACAATTGTTAAATTAATATATATATATATATATAATTATTATAGTATTTTTTTAGGGTTATAAATTTATAAAATTAATATTATGCTTATCGTGTATCGTGTTATCCACGTGTATACCCGAACTAACCCATTATCTTAACAGATGCTTATTGGGTTACCCGATAACAACCCGATTCGTTATCGTGTCGACCCGAACACCTGTTAATTTCATGTCGTGTCGTGTCAGGTTATCAGGTCGTGTCAGGAATTGTCAGGTTTACTTGTATTGAGGGAACACAAAATTATGACTCGAACCACTAATTTTGGGTTTTGAATTGGGCCTATAATTTGGAAACTCAAATGTTGGCCCAAACAATTGGGCCTAATAGCTTGATACCCAATTGCCAATCAAATCTTGTCACCAAACAAACAACCTTGTTTCGAACGCAAACGAAAGATCCGGGATTCCGGAATATGCCAAATCGCGTCTAGATTTCTGGCGCCCACCAGGTTAGGTGTCTACCTACGCAAAACCCTTCCACCAACATCCGCTGCCGTCTAGACCACCATAACAGACCATACACCACCTCATCGCCAAATCTCGTCCGTCCAATTCCAGAAACACCCTTGCATCCAATGGGCCACCTAAGGCCATCTCTAACTGAAGGGTCCAAAGGATCAGAGGGCCAAAAATAGCCCGAAAACAGTCTCCAACCGAGGGTCTAGGCCAGAGGGCTTTGGAATCTGGGAGGACCCCACGGAATCGGAGAGGGTTGGTCATTTTTTTTTATTGTTTTGTTATTCCTATCGGTTATAACCGACATAAATACATTTATACTAAATAATACAAATGTATTCTTGTCGGTTATAACCAACAGGAATGCTTAAATTCAAATTCAAATGCAACGGCTAGTCAGCTAGCCGTTGGATTCTTCTTTTTTTTTTTGGTTTTTTGGGCCAATTTTTTTTTGTTTTAAATTCTTAAAATTCTATTTTTTTTTCCTATAAATACTTAAACTATTCATTAACCATTCCTACACCATTAATTTGTAGTTTTTAAATTTAATTTATCGTTTTAAATTTAAGTTCTAGTTTTTAAATATAAGTTGTAGTTTTTTTAATTTAGGTTGTTGTTGTTTTTAAATTTAAGTTGTTGTAGTTTTTAAATTTAAATAATAAATTATGTTTGGCCCTATGACCCTCGATTGGAGACGGTTTTTTGTGATAGGACTAAAATGAGCCCTCTGGCCCTTTGTCCCTCGGTTGGAGACGGAGACAAATATGGTCATGTACTATTCATTAAAATATTAATATCTTAGAGAATTTTGAAGGGTCAGAGAGCTAAAACGAACCATCTAGCCAGCCCTCGGTTGGAGATGGCCTAACATTCCGCTCTGCGGCGGAGAGTCCAATGACCTGAAATGACGTTCCCACCCTTCTCAACTCCTCGTTTAAACACCCACACGCTCACTGTCGGGAGTCAAACGCGATTCGATAGATTTCACGCTCCGTTCGCAGTCGCACCTAAAAACTCGAAGATATCGGAGACACTGTCTGTGCGTGTTAGTTTTTAATGGCTCCACCATCACTGGTTGCTAACGGCGGTGCTGCCGGTGTTGAGTCAGTTCCGGCACCTGTCACCGGCCGATTCGCCTCCGTCTACAGCGAGGTCCAGGTCAGTCGTATCGACCATGCACTTCCTCTCCCTTCCGTGCTCAGAAATCCCTTCAAGGTCGTCGATGGTCCAGCTAGCTCCGCCGCCGGCAATCCAGGTCAGCTTCTTCTTCTTCTTCCGCTTTGTGCTAGGATCCATGCGTTTTTCTAGCGTTTGATATCGGAGAAATTTTGAAGTTCAAGTTTAGTCGACCAGATTTAGCGATCATGCTGTAGAATATGTGCGTTTTGGGATTTTCTATTCCGTATTTGATCGTCTCTCGTTTCGGTTCCTCAGAGGAGATCGTGAAGTTGTTTCCTAATGTTTTCGGTCAGCCATCTGCACGCGCTAAGCGATTCCGATTCGGGTCTACCGGAGCAGAAGCTGAAGATCGGTGTCGTTTTATCTGGAGGTCAAGCGCCCGGAGGACACAATGTGATTTCTGGAATTTTCGGTGAGGGTCTTAATTATCAATTTGTTATATGTTTCGTAAACTTTGTTTTTCTTTTCGAATTTTGGTTGAATTCGATCCGTGTTTTGGTGTTAGATTACTTGCAAGACCGCGCCAAAGGAAGCACAATGTATGGTTTTAGGGGCGGGCCTGCTGGGATCATGAAAAACAAATACATCGAACTTACCCCCGAGTATATTTATCCACACAGAAATCAGGTGAGTGTTTTGAGTGTGAATGATGTACACTATGCTGCTTAATTAATATATACTATGCCACCCTGCAGGCCTATCCCAGGCCACGCCTCACCTTGTCTTTTCACTCACCTCTGCCTTCATTGATTATCATTAAACTAGTTTAAACTTGAGATTCGCAGCTTAAATCAATTAATCAATTATTCTAACGATAATCAATGAAGGGTGAGCATCAACCTCAATTTATTGGGCGAGCAACTATGCACTCATTATTGTAAATATTTTTCTCCTTTTCTACTAAGAAAAGTATTTTTCTCCTTCTAAGTCACTAAGGAGGATGCGAGGTGTAGAAGAGAAGCAGATTAATCTAATCAACTTGGTTACGCTTAAACATGATTTATTTTCTATTTCTTCATTTTATTACAAGTGATATTATTACTTTAATTTACACAAAGAGCATAGGGCAGGATTTGAACTTAAGTTGAAGAAAAAATTCAATCCACTAAAGCAATCCACCACTACACTTAAGGATGACATATAAACACAAATGATGATTACAAACCAATACAAGCATGCAAGAGATAATCTTTGGCATACAATTTGTGACAAGCCTTTATTTTTCACTTATTACCCATACTTGTGAATGAAGACATAATAACATTGTGAAAATAGGGGAGAAAACAAGAAAAATCCGAAATATTCAAATGATAACAACAAATAAATACTTAAATTGCAAGATTGTGAATGTGCACCACATATTGTGTTGTGACGAAAAGTTTAGGTTATTTGATCCGCCTAGAGCCATGAAAGCGGAGAAAGGCCAATAACGGTTTGAAAACCTTGAAAACCCAAGCATTAATTGTCTTAAGCATGACCATGAAGGATTGATACATAGGAAACTGAAGCAAGGCGAATAGAGGGACGGGGAAAAAGGCAATAGGGTAAAGTATAGACATGGTCCATTTCTTCTTGACGCGAATCACGAGCAAAATGGTGGCAGCAAAGGCGAGCATGGTGGTTGCCATGGACAAGAAGAGCAAGATGAATCCTGCCATGACCTTGCGAGGAATGCTGTTAACGAAAAGTGGGTACTCGAGAGGGGAGGAGAGGACAGAGAGAAAGAATGCCACAGAAGATAGTGAGCAGGAAATGGCCACAACGTCCATGCAGGTGAAGAGCAAAAAGAGAGGATTGTCCTGGAAAATAGGACGGCCGCTTTGGTCGTTAAAACCCCCAGGAATGGCATAGGCGGCTGCAAAGACCACAGTGGCCACTAGCACCGCCACGGTTGAGCATGACTGAGCCGTTTCTTTTACCCATTTTTGTGCTTCCTCCAGAAGTTTGTCATGCTCTTGGTTGAACAGCTCCTCCGCTGTCTGATCCTTGTTGTTGTGGTGAAGAGTGTAATGAGGCGGTATCATCTCTTGTACACGCTGACACATGCACACGTCCACACATTAATAGTGTTGTCTGATAACATAAGTCTTTCACCAAGTGAACAAATTAACTTAATTTGTAACATAAGTATTTTCCTGACAATACAAGTATTTTAAAAGATCAGTAGACTTAATTGGTAATATAAATATTTGTGTAAGAACATAAATCTAGCAAGAGAACATTACCAGCATCCAGTGCTGCTCATCCTGCAATTGCATGGCAGGGCCTATTAATTTCTGAGACAATGATATGGAGTAGTAACTCCTATCTGCAGCCTGGTGCAATATGGTGTTTCCATATTTGTCTATCCTCTTACTCAGCTTCGGCATCACATGTGGTAAGCTTTGGATATGATTAAGGATCTCTTTCCGACGGTACTTAATGGCCAGATGCAAAACGTTGCGTATGTTATAGTTAACATGCTCGATTGCCTGAGGATGCTGGCCAACTATCTCCTTCACAATGGGTAGAATTCCATTGATAGTTGCCATAAGCAATGCGCTAGAATTCCTCGCCTCCTCTTTCGATTTGGCTAATTCCTCTTTTTTTCCACCTCCATCATCACCATTTGTCTTATCCGATGCGGCCGCCTGTCCTTTTTTTCCTCCGTCATCACCATCTTTATTAAGTTTTTCCGATTTGGCTGCATCCTTTTCTTTTCCACCTCCATCATCACCATTTGTCTCATCCGATACGGCCGCCTTTCTTTTTTCGCCTCCGTTATCATAACCTTTTTTCTCTGACAGCATAGAAGTGCTATCTTCGCCTGCAGCATCTATAGTACACCAAGATTTGTCCCACTTGGCGAGCAGTGGGATGAGTTTATCTAGTGCTTTTTTATTTTTCTTGTCCTCCCATATCAGGCCTCCTATTTCTATTCATCACATGATCAAACATATGTAAAATTAATTAACGTGTTATAATTAGGAAGGTCACATGGGCGCTCCAAATAAATTATCATGCACTCTTTATCTTCTTGTGTAAAATTATAAGAAATGAGTGCATAAGGATTTTTTTAGAGTTTTAACAAGTGTTCATCTAGATAAAAATGTACCGAAAAAAAGCCAGAACGTAAGCAAACTTTTAGCAAGGGAGTCCCGTAGTGAAATGTAAACCTTCACAAAGCCTGCAAAACATTTTTATGCGTGCAGCTTCATCAGCATTGGAAAAAATGCCGAATAAAGGAGCGTTTAGCTAGCTAACTGTGTACTTTATTTGATTAATTAATTAGGTTACCTGCAAGCTTGTTCCGAAAGATGGATTGGCGGTGCGGCTGGTTGCTCTCCATGCTGCTCTCCACATCATCCTTCCTATTGCTCTCCACATCATCCTTATGCTTCTCCATATCATCCATATCATCCTTATGCTTCTCCATATCATCCCTATGCTTCCTATTGCTCTCCACATCATCCTTCCTATTGCTCTCCACATCATCCTTCATATTGCTCTCCACATCATCCTTCCTATTGCTCTCCACATCATCCTTCATATTGCTCTCCACATCATCCTTATCCTTATGCTTCCTATTGCTCTCCACATCATCCTTCCTATTGCTCTCCACATCATCCTTCATATTGCTCTCCACATCATCCTTCCTATTGCTCTCCACATCATCCTTATCCTTCATATTCTGATTTGGTGTGACCACATCTCCTCCAACAGGAAGGCCTGCATATATATATAACAACATTAAGTATGAGATTACTGCTTCATTAAAAATAAATAAAAATCCATGCTTGCACCTGTGTATATATAGCATGTAAGCATGTAATTAAGGTAATGGCACGTACAATAATAAATTAGCATCTTCCATTTGCATTTTTCAAAATGTGGATCAAAGGCAGTTGGCATTTGGGCTAGCAACTGAAGGCTTGTCAATCCTTTATTGTTCTTTAGGGGCCCTAGATATGGGTTGTTCTCCACTAACCAAAGAGCGGTCTCTGCATTGTGGAAGACAAAAGAGCAAAAGTTATTAATCTGCATTGCATATAATTGTGTGCATTTTTTCTGAGAAAGAGAGAGACCGAAATGTTGCGCAACGACTGCGATATGAAGAATGGACGTTTTGTCACTTCTGTGGAAGTGCTTCCAAAGGTTGTCCCGATCATAATTCTCCAGTTTGCCAACATAAAACTTGACCAAGTCAGTGAAACCGTAAGCAGCCGCCTTGAAGAGCGAAGTTTCTCCTGAAGAGTTCCGAGTCTCCAGCAGCTCCAGTGCACATTTCTCTTTATCAGCAATGCTCACCAAGTACATTGCCGCTTCCTTGTTGCCGGTCATACTCACCTCATGGAGAGTATTGTTTCCGGCATTATTTTTCTTCGTCAGAGCTCTTCTCACGTCACCGTCGGATGGATTCCTGCGGAGTATATCGATAACCATTTTGAGATTTTTGCGTTGTGATTTGCTGCTGCAAGAAGCCGCAAGGTGGAATACAGTGCCTCCGTCCATTGTAATTTTAGAGAGCAGATGTTCCGGATTCTTCTCGAAGAAATCCTGCACGCCTTCCCAGTTCTCCGTCATGACATATTCATAGGGATCTTTCAATTCTTCAATGTGAATTAAGCTAACCTCTCTCGCTACCTCATCCTCCTCCACCGGCCTATCCGTTAGCGTTTCCCAGTGCTCCATTTCTAGTGTACTAGATAGCTTGGGGAATGTAATGCGGCGGTTGTGGCTTTGATTTATAGGCTAGCTGCTATATGCTTTTCTTAATTAAGTAACAAAGAGTGTTAAATAATAAAGCATAAAGGATCGAAGAGTTAAGTTCACTTACTGTTTCTTAGCTGTACGTGCTTTATCCATACAAGCATCTACCTTTGCTTAGTTGATTAACTGTAGATTCTTTTCACAAAGCGTGCAACACATGCCTCGCTACAATACATATATATAGCATTTTTTTTATTTGTCAAGAAATTAATATTCAGTTTTATAATATTCATTCATTGTAGAAAATTACATCTCATGTCCTGGAGATTGTCTGCAAGCAGCGTCTTTGCTATCTGCTTTGAAATAATAAAAGCTTAAAATGATTTCTAGCTGGATCTGCTTTATCTGTACAAACATCTACCTCTGTTATATGCTTAATTGAGTAACAAAAAATGGTGGATAATAAAGCATAAAGGATCGAACACTTAAGGTTACTAACTTGGGGTGTGCTATCCACACACCTCATTTTACTTCTCACACTTCTCTTACTAATTTATGTCCGTTGATCTTCTTCAATTTATTTGATCTGATGGTTGAAAATTAGAAAAGTGTGAGAAGTAAAATGGGATTTGTGGATATAACTTATTGTTCCTTAGCTATAAGCTCTTTATCCATACAAACATCTACCGTTGCTTAGCTTATTAGTTTCCAATTGTACTCTTTTCACCAACTGTGCAACACATGTCTCACAAATAATAATATAATATATATTTTTTGATTCGTAAGACGTTTGAATTTGATCTAGTAATCTAAATTACGGAGAGGAGACTCCAACCTAGATGCAGACAATGGCGAAGCCAAAAATGTCAAGGGAATAGGAAAAATTTAAAAGGGTAAATTGTCCTACAAAATTTGGACAACCAAATCCTTCTAGATAACTACCAGGATTATTCAAAGAAGGATTTGGACCTACCTTATTATTTGAATGATGATTTAAACACCGCTTATGGTATCATTCCATTACGTAACTGTATAATGAAAGAGGAAAAAAAATGTCTTAGTCCTAGAGTCTAACATTGTTCAACTAACATCGTATTAATAAAACGATATATATCTCATTTGCCTAATGGACAGTATGAGTTATATACTTGACCCAAAAACAAGTATGAGTTATGCATCATTATTTTTAAGGTAAACTGTCATTTGAGTCATTGAACTATTACTCCAGTTGAAATTAATTACTTGAACTATTTTTTTAATAAATTAACCCTCTAAACTATTTAAAATTAGCCTATTAATCCCTTCTTGGTAGATTTCATCCACCTTTGCTATATGCTTAATTAAGTAACAAAGAATGTTGGATGGAAAAGCATAAAGGATCAAACAGTTAAGGTTACTGAGGATGGGGGCCGAGTGCAGTGGCACTAGAGCCAAAGAAACTCCCACCTCGATACCCCCCACCCAAGTTCGATACCCCCCACCCCCAAGCATAAAGGATCAAACAGTTAAGGTTACTGAGATTCCGATTCGGGTCTACCGGAGCAGAAGCTGAAGATCGGTGTCGTTTTATCTGGAGGCCAAGCGCCCGGAGGACACAATGTGATTTCTGGAATTTTCGGTGAGGGTCTTAAGTATCAATTTGTTATATGTTTCGTAAACTTCGTTTTTCTTTTCGAATTTTGGTTGAATTCGATCCGTGTTTTGGTGTTTTGGTGTTAGATTAATTTAGTGGCGGGCCTGCTGGGATCATGAAAAACAAATACATCTAACTTACCCCCGTGTATATTTATACATACAGAATCACGTGAGTGTTTTGAATGTGAATTTTTACCTTGTGTGAAGCCTTTACCTCAAGTTAATTGTTGTAAGGATCGATTATTTGGCACAGGGATATGTGCGTGTCTATGTTTAAATTCTTGAAAGCAATATATACAGCACATACATAGCTACATATATGCATCTGTTTTACGTGTAAGTTCGTTTTGGCTAGAAAATAATTGACGTGTTGCTTGTATTTTCGTCTTATCAGGGTGGTTTCGATATGATTTGCAGTGGAAGGGACAAGATTGAATCTCCAGAGCAGGTGGCTCTTGTTTCCTTTGTGAAGATATTCAGGTTAAGTATGTTTATCTAACCAACTAACCATTTTAAATGGATATTCATGTTAAGTATGTTTATCTAACCAACTAACCATTTTAAATGGATATGTATTATAGTTTAAACAAGCACAAGAAACAGCCGTGAAGCTTGATTTGGATGGGCTTGTTGTTATCGGTGGAGATGACTCAAACACAAATGCCTGCCTCCTTGCTGAAAACTTCAGGTTTGTTGTGACGAAGTTCTTTGGAATGATTTTACTTGCCATTCCAAACGTGGTGCCTTTTGATGCAATTATGAGAGTAGGTTACATTTTGTTTTGATATAATTGTTTCTCCTGTTTTGTAATTTTTTTCTTTATCTGTTAAACCAGGAGTACTTTGATCCTATTAGACGGGGGAGGGTGAAGAAGCTAGGACAGAAGGGTAGAGTTCAAGAGAGCAAAATGCGTTTAGGAACGTGGAATATAGGAACCTTAACGGGAAAGTCTATGGAAGTAGTGGAAGTTATGGTGAGGAGAAGGATAAATATTATGTGCCTACAAGAAACTAAGTGGGTTGGTAGTAAGGCAAAGGATCTAGAAAACTCAGGGTTAAACTTTGGTATTCGGGCACAAATAGAACGAGAAACGGTGTTGGCATCATCGTGGACAAGACCTTGACACAAGATGTTGTAGATGTCAAGAGGGTAGGAGATAGAATCATGGCAATCAAGATTGTAATAGGACAAGAACTTATCAATGTGATTAGTGCGTACGCACCTCAAGTAGGGTTGGATACGAGTTCGAAGGAGAAATTTTGGGAAGACCTTGGAGACTTGGTGCAAGGAATTGCTCAGACGGAGAAGTTATTTATAGGAGGAGATTTAAATGGACACGTGGGCAGGGAGACAGGCAACTATGGAGGTTTTCATGGTGGCCATGGTTTTGGGGAGAGAAACGAGGATGGGGAAGCTATCTTGGATTTTGCAATGGCATATGATCTCTTCTTAGCCAACACCTTCTTTAAGAAGAGAGAAGAACATGTGATCACCTACAAGAGTGGGTCGTCAAAAACACAAATAGATTTTCTTCTAATGAGGAAAGGGGATCGTATAACTTGTAAGGATTGCAAAGTTATACCAGGAGAGAGCGTGGCTAATCAACATCGCTTGTTGGTGATGGATGTACATATCAAAAGAGTGAGACAAAAGAACAAGACTTGGAAGTGTCCAAGGACTAGATGGTGGAATCTAAAAGAAGAAAAACAAGCCATTTTCAAAGAGAAAGTAATCACCCAGTGTGTGTGGGATAGAGATGGGGAAGCTAGCCAAATGTGGGATTCCATGGCTAGTTGTATCCGAAAAGTAGCAAAAGAGGTATTAGGAGAGTCCAAGGGCTTTGCCCCACACCAAAAGGAATCTTGGTGGTGGAATGAGGAGGTACAAAAAAGGTGAAGGCTAAGAAGGAATGTTGTAAAGCCTTATACAAGGATAGGACTGATGAAAATGGTGAAAGGTATAGAAAGGCGAAGCAAGAGGCGAAGAAAGCTGTGAGAGAAGCTAAGTTAGCGGCTTACGACGATATGTATAAACGACTAGATACCAAAGAAGGAGAGTTGGATATCTATAAACTAGCTAGAGCAAGGGAAAAGAAGACAAGGGACCTAAACCAAGTGAGGTGCATCAAGGATGAGGATGGAAAGGTTCTTGCTACAGAGAACGCGGTTAAAGACAGATGGAGAGGTTATTTTCATAATCTTTTCAATGAAGGACATGAAAGGAGTGCTTCTTTGGGGGAGTTGAGTAACTCAGAAGAGTGTAGAAACTACTCTTTTTATCGTCGAATCCGGAAGGAAGAAGTGGTTGTAGCTTTGAAAAAGATGAAGCATAGAAAAGCAATAGGCCCAGACGATATACCAATCGAAGTGTGGAAAGTTTTGGGAGAGACAGGTATAACATGGCTCACTGACCTTTTCAATAGGATTTTGAAAACGAAGAAGATGCCAAATGAGTGGCGAACGAGCACTTTGGTGCCTATCTACAAGAATAAGGGCGACGTACAAAATTGCGTGAACTATAGGGGTATTAAGCTAATGAGTCATACAATGAAGCTCTGGGAGAGAGTCATTGAGCATAGATTGAGGCAAGAGACACGGGTTTCAGACAACCAATTCGGGTTCATGCCAGGGCGCTCAACCATGGAGGCAATCTATCTCTTACAAAGATTGATGGAAAGATATAGAGATGGGAAAAAGGATTTACACATGGTCTTTATAGATTTGGAGAAAGCGTATGATAGGGTCCCAAGAGACATTCTTTGGAGGATTTTAGAGAAGAAAGGAGTACGAATAGCATATATCCAAGTTATAAAGGATATGTATGAAGGAGCAAAGACTGCCGTAAGAACTCATGAAGGACAAACTGAAAGCTTTCCCATAACTGTAGGATTACATCAAGGCTCATCCTTAAGTCCTTACCTTTTTGCGTTGGTAATGGATGAGTTAACAGGACATATTCAAGAGATGATATTCCTTGGTGTATGCTTTTCGCAGACGATATAGTGTTGATAGATGAAACTCAGGAAGGGGTAAATGCAAAGCTTAACCTTTGGAGAGAAGAGTTGGAATCTAAAGGTCTTCGACTAAGCCGATCAAAGACAGAATATATGGAGTGCAAGTTCAGTGCAAATGGAGGTCAAAACGAGTTAGGGGTGATGATCGGAGATCAAGAAATACCAAAGAGCGACCGTTTTCGTTACCTAGGATCTATCTTGCAAAAGAACGGAGAATTAGATGGAGATCTCAACCATAGAATATACAAGCTGGATGGATGAAGTGGAAGAGTGCATCCGGCGTGTTGTGTGATCCGCCGTATGCCACTGAAGCTCAAGGGAAAATTTTATAGGACGGCAATAAGGCCGGCGATGTTGTATGGCACAGAATGTTGGGCGGTGAAGCATCAACACGTACACAAAATGGGTGTAGCGGAGATGAGGATGCTTCGTTGGATGTGTGGGCACACGAGAAAGGATAAGATTAGGAATGAGGATATCCGGGGTAAAGTAGGAGTAGCCGAAATTGAAGGAAAGATGAGAGAAAATCGGTTACGGTGGTTTGGACATGTGCAAAGAAGGCCTACTGACG